CCAATATTGTTGTTGTCGGTGACTTTAATGTTCATCACACTGAATGGCTTGGCTCTAGTGTCAGTGACTCTGCAGGCATTAAGGCCCACAACTTTTGTCTTTCTCAATCCCTAACTCAAATAGTCAACTTTCCAACTCGCTTTCCAGACAACCTGAACCATTTACCTTCTCTACTCGACTTATGCCTTGTTTCTGATCCTAGTCAGTTCAGTTTCTTCACACTCACCCTTAGGTGCTTCTGATCATGGTTTGGTCTCTCTAAAACTATTATTTCATTCTTCTTTACCATTAGAATCCCCCTATCATCGTACATCTTACAACTACCTTAAAGCTGACTGGGACTCTTTTTGTGACTTTCTTCGTGATGGCCCCTGGGTAGAAATCTTTCGTCTCCCTGTTGACAAATGTGCTTCTTACATAACTTCGTGGATTCAGGCTGGCATGGAATCCTTTATTCCCTCTCGACGATTCCAGGTCAAGCCTCACTCTTTTCCATGGTTTTCCTCACATTGTGCTGCTGCAATTGCCAATCGAAACCATTACTTCCATATCTATCAGCAAAACAATTCTCCAGAAAACAGACGTCTCTTTATTACTGCTAGGAACCATTGTAAAAAGGTTTTGTCTAACGCCAAAGCCTGCTATTCTCAGATCATGAAATCTTGTATTTCATCACAAAAATTAGGCTCTCGTGACTTCTGGAGAATCTTTAATAGTATCAATAATAAGAGCAAGTCTGTAATTCCACCTCTTTTGTACGGTTCAGACTTTGTCACCTCACCTAAAGACAAAGCTGAATTGTTTGCCAAGAACTTTTCATGAATATCATCTCTTGATGTCACTAGTTGTGTTTTACCTGATATACCCGTCAAACAGGTTGATCCATTGCTCGACATTCATATCACTCCAGCTTCTGTATCTAAAGTGATTTCCCGCTTAGACTCTTCTACAGCTTGCAGCCCGGACAACATACCTGTTATAGTCTTGCAGAAGTCTCTCCTAAGCTGTCCTCTATCTTTTCAAAACTATTCAACAAGTGCTTATCAGAGTCTTGTTTTCCAGCCTGCTGGAAAGCAGCATCTGTTATCCCTATTTTTAAAAATTCTAGAGAGCGATCTGACTCATCTAACTACCGTCCCATTAGTCTTCTTCCTATCATAAGCAAGGTTTTTGAATCTTTAATTAACAAACACTTAATCTCTCATCTCGAATCTCATAACCTACTTTCTGATCATCAGTATGGATTTCGATCTTCTCGTTCTATGGCTGATTTGCTATCAGTAATAACCGATAGGTTTTATCGCGCATTAGATAAAGGTGGAGAGGTTAAGGCCATCGCTCTTGACATTTCTAAGGCGTTTGATAAAGTTTGGCATGCTGGTCTTCTCCATAAGCTTTCTTCTTACTGTGTATCTGGAAACATCTTTAAGATTATCGAATCCTTCCTTTCAAATCGTAGTATAAAAGTTGTCCTTGATGGACAGCACTCTTCTTCTTATTCTGTAACCTCAGGGGTTCCTCAAGGTTCAATCCTTGGCCCTATACTCTTTTTAATTTACATTAACGATCTTCCAGATATTCTCACATCTAAGGTGGCATTGTTCGCTGATGTTACTACCATTTTTTTTTCTCACAATAAGAAGCCAACTTTAAACTTGTGAACTTTAATTCAGATAAAACTCAATTTTTTTTGGCCAATCGTTATTGGAATAATATAGACCTTCCTATATTTATGAACGGTAATGTACTTGATTAGTCTCCTACCCTTCATCTTCTAGGATCAATTCTTACTTCTGATCTTTCTTGGAAACCTTATATCAAATCCGTTGCAAAATTAGCATCTGCTAAAGTTGCTTCTCTTTATCGAGCTTGTCACTTTCTTACTCCAGATTCTATTCTTTATCTCTATAAATCTCAAATCCGGCCTTGTATGGAATACTGTTGCCATATCTGGGGTGGATCTTCTAATGATGCCTTTTTTTCTTTTAGACAAGGTGCAAAATCGCATTGTAAACATAGTTGGACCTGCTCTTGCAGCCAACCTTCAACCTCTGTCACATCGTTGTAAGGTTGCTTCTCTTTCTCTTTTCTACAAATACTATAATGGGCACTGCTCTAAAGAGCTAGCGTCTCTTGTGCCATCTACTAAAATTCATTCTCGTGTTACTCGTCATTCAATTAAGTCTCATCCTTTTTCTGTTACTGTTCCTAAAACTCTTATTCGTCTAGTTTTTTTCCTCGAACATTAGTTCTTTGGAATTCGCTTCCTTCATCTTGCTTTCCTGATTCATATAATTTGCAATCTTTTAAGTCGTCTGTCAATCGTTATCTTGCTCTACAATCTTCATCTTTTCTCTTCCAGTAACTTCCAACACTAATTAGTGGTTGCTTGCAACCTTGTTGAAAGCGAAGATAAAAAAAAAAAAAAAAAAAAAAAATTGTCACATTAATTAAAAGATTTATTTTAATTAATGTGATTTTAATATTTCTTAATTAATGTGATTTTAATATTTCTTAATTAATGTAATTTTAATATTTCTTTCAATACTAATGATGATGTAAACATCATCATTAGTATTGAAAGAAATATTTGCAGTATTTAGATCATTTTTATTTCAAATTTCAACTAATTATCCTTAACTGTACTTGATTCTCCAGGAATATCTTCCAATTTTTTGTCATAAAAATGTGAAATAAAATTTTTAAATATATTGATTTAAATAAAATAGATGATTAAATACTCACAGTAAAATAGTTTTAAAAAATTAGACAAGTAAAGATGAATTTTTACTATTTTTATGATTTTCCATAATAACCTAAATTTAAATGGAGGTGGTCCAAAGTTATATTTTTTTTGTTTAACCAGTTATTCTTAATTAATTTTTTAAAAGTTTAAAAAACAATTCAGTTTTGGCTATTTTTTTGTAGTTGGTCTTTTAGTTCTACTTTTAACATTTTAAAGATATAAAAAACTTAAAAAAGAGAAATCTTTGCAGTGCATTCTTTGCTTTTAAAGTTATGCAATTTTATGTCAAAATTTATGCAATTTATATTTTGATTGGATAAATTTGAATGGAAATAAATAGTTGCATTTAAATAAAAACTTTTATCTAGAAAATACTTTGCTTTTAATTTTGTAAACTAAACTTTGATACCAATTAAAATAAAAAGTGTTGCAAAAAAAGTAACAAACTATTTTTAAATCAAAATTAACAAGCTTCTTTAGAAACAACTTTCCTAGTAGTTAATTATTTTTATTATACAAAGTTCTTTTTTTATTCAAAGCCTTTATTCAAGGTTGCTCTTGCTCTTTTTCATAAAGTCAGCAACAAATATCTTTTGGAAAACTTCATTAAAGAAGATTACTGCTCACTAGTTCTAGAAGCACTTTGATGATTTTATCATTCTTGCAAATATAGCTTGGCAAAATTTAGTTATATTTCTATACAGAAAATAGGAAAGTATTATGGCTTTAAAGAAAGATACAATGATAGAATAATTGATTAGTATTACATTTTTAACCAAGTTAATTAAACAATTACAAATAACATTGAACTTGAGCAACAATATGGAATTCATTGTAATCGGCTTCAGAAATATTGTCAATGTCAACAATTCCTTAGTAGTAACATACTTAAATATCCAAACTATTTGAGAAATGAAGATTCAGGTAATTTAAAAATATTTTGTAAAATGTGTCCCATTGTTAAAAAATTTGAAGATATAAAATACAATAGAAACCAGCCACAGATACTTTTGAGACATAGCGGGTTAGCAGAAAAAGAAAAATTGGCTTTATATCAGGCATCTTAGAGAAATTCTATTTTAACTTCTTAAAAATTACTATGTGACCCATTTACTGAATCAGATGTCAATGAATCAGATGTCAATGAATGTATTAAAAAAAAAATGTATTAAAAGAGAAAAATCTGTTGAATGCTAAAAACAATTGAAGAATGATTTTATTTATTTTAATAGATGCAAGTAGGTCATTGCTGCAAAGATTAACTGTATTTAAAATTGATTGTTGATAAAAATACAAAAAAATGCAGTCTTATGTCTACATTAGAATACACTAATAATTTAAAGGTTCTACTTGGAAAATCCTCATAACAATCCACAATCACCTATGATGATCTTTTTTTTTTTTAAGTAAAAGTGTACCAAGAATAACTAATGATCTTATCACAGAGCACCACAGAAGAGTAATTGAACCACTAGTTTCACACCTTCTTCCTTACCAATGTTGCTTCTTTACCAATGTCACACCTGGTGAGAGTTGGCATTGAACCTCAGACCACTTGACTCTGACCAATACTCAGACCACTGTACCATGGCTGCTTTAAAGTTATTTCATATTTCATACAAGTTATTCCTTATAATTTCATATATGTCTAATTTTTTGTTTTTTAATTATGACACACATAATGATTACTTATTTTATTGATAAAATGAAAAGAAAAATATACCATGGATTCTATTTTGCTTAAATTTAATATAAGTTTATTAAATGTAAGCAAAGTAAATATATAATAATAATTTCATTCAATTTTATTGAAATTTTATTGATTACTTTTATTGCAATATATTTATAATGAAAAAAGTATTAAGCAATTTAAAATCAGCATAAGCAGTTATTTACGAAAAAGTGATTAAACAACACAACATCTAGAAAAAGTTAATTTAGGACCACCACCACCCCCACCCTTATTTTAGGGGCTTTAATAAATAGTTATCAAAGTCACTTGTTATGATAGTGACACTTTCGAATTTTTAGAAATTTTTGAAAATATGCTTAAAGTTCTTTTTAGTATATTTGTTACAACAAAAAGTACATACATACAAACATGCATACAAACATTCGTACATACATACATACATACATACATACATACATACATACATACATACATACATACATACATACATACATACATACATACATACATACATATTCATATATAAGTTATTAGAGAATATATTGAAAAAAATCATTTTAGTCACATTCTATTACGAAGTCGAATGCTGCGTGAGCATGGAAAATATATTCCAATTGAGGTAAACTTTTTTTATTGTATAAATATTTTTTTAATAACGAAATGAAGACTAGTATCTTTAAAACAAATGTAAAATTTGTAAAAAAATTTCCTCTTTAAAAAATAGACTAATAAAAAATATTAATATTGCAAAAAATTTTCAGTTAGAATAAATTTTTATATATTTTATTAAGAAAATTTTTTTATACAATTTTCATAATATTTTGATTTTTTGTTTAAATGAAAAAATGTAAATGTCAAAATATGTAAAAATATTAAATTAGCAGGTAGAAAAAACATTAACCATTATTAACATAAAAGTTTTTCTGTTTTGTTGTTTTTATGCTAGTCTTACAGTTTAAGTGTTGGATAATTTATTTGATATCTCGTTTTTGTATAATGGAATATATGTGTTATACAACAAACTATGCATTATATATATAACATACCTATTATATAACAAATACTATACCAAACCATGTATTATATATAAAATACCACGTTAACTACATGTATAATATATATAACATACCATTTATTGTATATGTATTGTGTATAGCATATTTTATATTATAGCTTTTGAAACTATTTTTATTTAGCCATTCCCTTTTTTAAAATTTATGAAAAACATCTTAAATTAATTTGTATAGAAAATATAACACCTTTGTTATTATTTTGGATTTTTACACTTTAAAATTTTTATTTTAAAAAAGGTTTTTAATTAAGCTGTTCAATTTCAGATAAATTTTTGTATATAAGATAAAATGATTTTGTTTTGTTATTGAGGTTATCTATAGTTAAAACAAATTTCATTTTAGTCATTTCTTATGCGTAAGCAATTTTTTAATGACAAAGAAAATGGAATATTGAAAGAAGAAAAACCTAAAGCACCTGTTAAAAATCCAATGCAAGGTTATATTTTACTTTTCTCAATAATGGCGAGATTTATAGAAATATTATTTTCCTTTATGTTCTCTTATAAATTTTTAATATTTTCAAAATTGATATGTCAGATCCCACAATGATGATGGACATGATGAAAGGAAACTTGACAAATGTGCTTCCAATGATTGTTATTGGGGGATGGATCAATTGGACATTCTCTGGGTTTATTACAAGTATGTTCTTTAATTGAGTTAGTTTATACTCTTTTTTAAAAGCTATTTTATCTTTTTGATTTTTTTTTTCAATCATAATTTTGTGTTTATTATTTATAATTTAAATATAATTTATAATTTAAAATATAAATTTTTGTATACTTTTATCAGTTAAATTTTAATTAGAAATATCAAGGCTTGGAACAATATATTTTGTTTCTTTTACCTTTAAATCAGAAGTTTGGTAGACAAGGAACTATTGTCAATATCAAAACAGCTTTGAAAGCAGTAGGCAGTAGTAATTGTTTTTAAAAATATACTCAAATTAAATGTGAGAACAGGTTAATACAATCACAGCCTGATTAATCTAAGCTCCAAATTCTGGATTAACATCTGGATTAAGTTTTTAAATCATATATTTTTTTCTTAAACATTTTGAAAATTTTGTCAATATCTTCTCTTTTTTGTTCAAATCAAATGAATAGCTATTGAATCTTGAACTTTAAAAATTTAAGATTTAATAGCAAAAACACTAAGATAAAAAAATTTAATCTTAGTGTTGCAGTCAAGTATGTAATTTGTGAGTGTTATTGATGGCAATTAATATAATTTGTATCTCAGGCCATAAAAAGAGTACAAAACCTTATTCACGCAGAGTTTAACACCGTTCATGTTTTGGAGTTTAGGGTTGAATGAGAGTTGGAAATAATTTTGTCCAAGTTGAGCAAAAGTTTTTTAATTGTGTATATGAAAAAAAAATTTTTTCATAAATATTTCTGTTTTTTATTTTTAGCAAAAGTGCCATTTCCTTTGACACTTCGTTTTAAAGCAATGTTGCAACGTGGGATTGAATTAACAAGTCTAGATGCATCATGGTAAATATTTAATGTTTTTTTTTTAAATTAAACTTGAATTATCAATCATAGTTAAACTTAAATGGCATTACCAAATGCAGTTAAACATGTTTGTTTTTTTTCTATTTCTAAATCTTTTAAATAAATTCAAAAGTTATTCAGCAACAAAAAGTGTCACACTTTCTGGGAAATAAAAAAAAGTTGATAATGTATACCAAAATTATATAACACAAATAACAAAAAAAAAAATAATGGTAAAACTTATCATAGTTTTAACATATGGTTTCTAAAATAATCACAACATAGACATCCATTTTGTGATTTAAATTTGTTAGTTTAAAATACACAATGATAGTTTAAAATTAATTAAAATAAAGAGTATGAACAATATTAAAACATTTATGTTCATAGTTTTATTTTAAAATTCTATATTTTAGTTCAGTATTTTAAAGTTCTGTGTTTTAAAAGCTCCTATTTGTTAAGCTGCTACTTTAAAAATTTTTTTTTTTTCAATTTAAAAAAAAGCTTGTAAAAGACTTCAGCTGCTATAGTGCTCTATCTTATTTTTTTATCTTTATATTAATAGAGTTTTAAATACTCTTCTATTAATATTTATTTTTGTTTTGACAACTGCTTAAGTATACTTTGTTCAAAAAACAGTTCTCCTATATTTTTGTGTATTTCATTCTTTCTCCAAGCATTCACTGTTTATGTGTGACCATTTGGCAAATTTTTATATTAAATTTAAATAATATAGGGCCCAGACTTTAAGGAATGTATATTTATAATAAATAAATTTAAGTTATATTTAAAGTTATTTATTATAAATTTAAATATCAAAATATGACTTTTTTTTTTTTGCATAATAAATAATGGTTCCTTTAAATAGATAGATGTTAAAATCAACATATATACTATGATGAAAATAGGTAAGAGAAGGAGAAAAAAGTTTCTTTTGATCTATTTGTAACTACAAAGTTGTCAGCTGTTAACCAAGTTATTTCATTTTTTCTGAGTTGTTAACAAAGTTTGGCTATCGGCACAATTTTACATAATGTAATTTAATTTTATAATGTACTCTTAAATATGCAGCCTGTGAAGACAGTGCTCCAGGTTGTTTCTTCGATGTTGAATGGATAAGCAAACAAATCGATAAGCAGAGTTGAATGGATAAGTAAACAAAGCAGATTGGAAAAATGTGTCTGTATCAATCAACTTAGAGAAAAGAGAGATCCCCATCATATTGTAAAGACAGATACATGATAGATAAAGGAGGAGGATAGATGAAGGAGGAGAATTTTTAAAGGTTTGTTCAAGTATTCTTAATTTTGAAGTAAGTAAACCTAAGGTTAAATTCTCATACAAAAAGGATTTAAAGCATGACAAGTTTAAGGACTGAGGAGTTAAGAAACTTATCCTTATAGCTTTTGTTCAAAATGTCATAGAGAATTACCACAATATCAAGCAGGTAATAGATATATTGGGGATTGCAACAAAGAAGTATTTCTTAGCATTTGACTAGCTAATATTTATTTTGGCATTGAAGCAGCCTCTACTCACCCCTGCAGTTGGTGTGAGCTGTCAAAGCAGGACATGCATGATTTCATAATCTGTGATCATACAGGGTATCATTATTAATTTTTTTTTTTTTTTCACTATTAAAAAGTCATGCTGGATATTTTATTTCAGGGTTTCAATCTTTTTTTTTTCAGAACACTTGGTATGATTAGAGATAATGCAGAACAGTACAAAAGGTAAACTCTCTGCTGCAGTCTTTAAAAGTTGTGTCCAAAATCTATTGGTAGACCTACCAGGTAATACATCTGTTTCAGGAAACCTCTCTCCAATGGAGTTTTATCTATTTGCTGGAATTAAAAACTGTTTGTATAACATAGGTAATAAATGCTGCCTAAAATAGAAACATCAGTTTCCATGAATATGATGAATAAAGCAAAAGGGTTTAATAAGCCAAAATTGCACATTGGCCAGTTCAAGGGAATAAAGTGTTCAAATCTATTGGATAACACAGAAATGTTAGATATTAAACCTGAAAAATCAAGAAAGTTTATGTGTGCAATGACTACACTAAATCATATAAAGAAAACTTGTTTTGGTTTAAGTTTGAACACATCTTACAAGGATCACATAAATGCCTACAAGAAAGCATATATTGCGTTGAAAGAAAAATCTCCTTAAGTGCATGCTTTATTTATTCATATACCTATTTTTCTGGAATCAAATTCCAAATGGAAATTAAAAATGGCTGACAAATACCTTGGATAAGGTCTTGGTTTTCTAGTCAGAGCAGGCTTCTGAAACTGCTGATTATGACTTCAAACGGTTCTATGAGACAAAGTTCCAAGTTGTCACAAACTGTATCAATCGAAACTTCCAAAGTCAGTTTTTATAACATTAGATATGCACATTACAAAATTTAATTTAAGACATTTATATATTTAGAATTTATTTTTTTTAGATATTTTATTTGTAAATTTTTTGTTTCAATTTTATTTTATATTAAAATTAATCTCTTATTCATAAAATATATACAAATATCAAGTCTTAATATGGTTTCATGTATCTTTAGGAACAATTAAACAGCTATTTTGAATAAAAATAATCTATAATTTTCAAACAACATTATAAAGACAACAATTTTACATAAGTAAAATAATTTCAAAATTTTTGTCAAAAAATTTATTTTTACATTTTGTCCAATAACTGATTAATTATTGATATTATAGCATCCATTAAATAAAAGCTCTGTGAACAATTTAAATATATAAATTTATGATATAACCCTGGAACATTTTTTTTCGGCTTGTACCTACTTCTATTATTATAATATTATGTGTTATTATGATAGAAAGTAAGGTATTTAAAGATATTCAAAAATAAATTATGTAATTTATTTTTGAATATTTTGAAAATTTATTATTCAGTATCTTAAATATCTGGGGCTGGTAATTGTTCTAATCAACAAGTTTAAAACACTTTTATTTTTCACATGATATTTCTAATAAGCATATTATTATGTTTATTAGAAATATTAATATGTTCATTAGAAGTATTTGAAAATATTGTTTGGCGTTTTGTTGTCACATTTTCTCTTTAATAAAGTTTTACAATTTGAGTTCTAAATCAGGTAAAAAAAAAACAACATAAAAAATTGCAATTATTGTAATAATTTCCTTAAGTAAACAATGTATGTATGTTGTGTTAATTGTGTTAATGTATTTTTGTGTTATTATTAGTAAAAAAATCTTATCTTAAGGTCAATTTATAATTAAATATAATTAAACAAATTTACTCTATACAAATAAATGTATACTCCCTCCATTCTGAAATTTTGTTCCGATTTCCTGTTGTTTTTTTTTTGTTCCAAAATACAATTCTGGTTTGATTTTATTACTAATTTTGATGAGAAAAAATTTAAATATTTTAAAATTGATTTTTTTCTGAAAATAAAGAATTATTTGAAAACTTGTGAACATTTGAACACTGTGAAAGGGGGGGGTCGAGGGGCCATTCCCCCCTCCACAGACTTGTTGACATACAATCTTGAAGCAATACAAAAACTTTATTAAGTGTATCACCTTCAATTTTGTCAAACGTTTCATGTACAAGGTTGATTATCTCGTTAAATTTGGAGGGGCTGTTACTGAAATATTTACTTTGTAGTGCTCTAAAATATCCTAAATCTAGGATATTCATATCTGGACTGTTTGATGGCTGACAAATTAAAAGAATATCAAGTTCATCCCGAGACACGTCTGAATCATCAATGGTTATATGTAGTTTTGCATTGTCCTGTTGTATAAAAATAGTTTGACTCTTTTCAATATGATTTCCTGGCCATTTTGAATGTATGGCTGATAAAAGATTATTTAAAAGCATGTTGCAATGCTCAAATTTATCTACAACAACTGAAGTTGTAACTAGTGTTCCCTTACTTTGATTCTTTCTGTTTCTCTTTGCAGGCTCTTTCTTTACAAATGGCCAAATGCCAATCTTTTCCATCAAACAATTCATTTGTATGTTGGTCAAATCTTGGTCTCGCAATGGCGGAACATTTTATGATAAAATTCTTTGATTTTACATGTCAATGAGGCTCATGTTTATCAATCTCCGAGTAGTACTGTCCTGATTTTTCTGTCAAATAAAACTATTTTTCATCTACATGAATTGTGTTGAACATATTTACAAACTGAATTGTTCCATTTGTGAAAAATTGTAAGTGAGAAAGTATAAATTCAATACAATGCTTCCTATTTTAATCTGTAAAAAAAGTTTCATAGTTGACATGCACACTCTCAGATCACCAGTCTTAAGTCAGTAATAAAAGGTTGTTGTTTGAATATTTAAAGATCCTAGCCAATGATCCAATTTTACGCTTACGCTGCCAATGGTTGGTTTTACGCTTGTTCAAAGTGATTTTATTGATTCCTTTCAGTTGACAATTTTTCTTTTTTCGTCCACATTTTTTCTTTTTGGAGCACACGTTTGATAGCATACTTTCTTGTCCATGATGCCAAAGGTTACTTATCACTCTACTTTGCTCGTTTGTAAGTTCACATGTATCTCTTTTATTCATTCTGCAAAAACTTAGTTGCAAATTTTTAAAGTAACAAATTGTGTTAGCTGTTTCTAAATTTAAAATATATTATTACTGCAGTAAAAAAATGCAATAAAAATGCCACAAAATAAACGCCTGACTATATTTGTTACATAATTAAAAACAATAAAGTCATTTATTGAGCATAAACTATTTAAACTAAATGGTTTTAGATATTAAATAATTTATTACAGCTTAAGAACTTTTGAAAAGCTGTTACTATTTTCTTTTTTCCACTAAAAATGATGAAATGTTATTACATTTTCAAGTTTATAATTCATTTTTAACAAATCGGAACAGTATTTTGGAACAAAATATTTCATTAAAAAAACATCCTTTTTAGAAATTAATGGTATGATGGTATTATATAATATTATCAGAATAAATTGTTTATAATATTATAGAAAAACAGCTATATTTTATATAAAAAATGTGTTTAATTAAAAACATAATTTATTTTCAATAATTCTTTATGTTAAATGCAAATCGGAACAGTATTTCGGAACAAAGGGAGTATTATTTAAGTTTATTGATAAAACAAAAAGATCTTAAAATAAAGAATATCAAAAAAACAAAAGAATTAATTACATAAGTTGTGACTGATGTCTGACAGGGCATCCCAGAATGCAATTTGAAAAATTAACAGGAGATTTGCAAAGTGGTGTACAGCTCTTAAAATCTTAATATAATAGTTTTTAATTATAAGTTAGATTGTTATTAGACATTTATTATTAGTTTTTACATATGAAATGCAATTCATTATAAAAAATGAAAAAAGAAATCTCTAAATCTTTAATCTAATTGGTTAATTAATTGGTTTATTTAAAAATAATTGTTTAAATAATTTATTTGGTTTATTTGTAAATTTGTAAAAAATATCATACTAAATATGAATAAAGTATTGAAACTTGAATTTTTTTGAAATTGGTTTCATTGTCTCTCCTTACATTTGCAGTAAAGATGATTTGTTGACATTTCTTTGATTATGTTATTCGTTATTTAGGGTTAGCTCAGTATCTTGGTATTTTCTTAATGTATTTGGTCTACGTAGCTTTTATTCTCTTATTTTGGGACAAGATAATGGCAAGTGTATTACATAATCTGATATATATATATATATATATATATATATAGATATATATATATATATATATATATATATATATATATATATATATATATATATATATATATATATATATACATATATATATACATATATATATACATATATATATATATATATATATATATATATATATATATATATATATATATATATATATATATATATATATATATATATATATATATATATATATATATATATATATATATATATATATATATATATACATATATATATATATATATATAAATGACTAAAATGGCTTCAATATAAACTTTTGTTTTATATAAAGTTTTGCTTTTTCTTACATGTGAAAATTTTTTTAATTGTATGTGTGTGTATACAGTAGATTCCTGTTAACTCGGATCCTGGATAAGTGAGACTTTTACTAAGTCAGACTGGTTGTTTAGTTTGTTTAACTATATTTGTGCCAAATATAGTTAAACAAACTAAACATTTTCACTGATAACTTTGATTTAGTTAAACTTTGATTAAATTGTATTTATTAAAAATGTAGAAGGTTGCTAAAAGAAAGGTAACAAGTAAATCTATAACAGAAAAATAAATAATACTAAAAGAACTCAACAAAGGAGAATCATATGGATCTATATCAAAGAAGTATTGTAATCCAAAGCAAAAAATGTCTGGACATTGAAAAGAAAAAACCACAATATAAGTTAAAAAAAAAAACTTCTGCGAGAAGTGAGGATGCAAGTCCTACTAAATAAGGATTTGGAAATAAGGTTATATTTTGCTTTTAAATACCCGACATCAAAACATTCCTGTGTCATTTTTCAAAAAGTCTGTCATAACAAAAGCTTTGCTTAGTTCAGACATTCATTAAGTTGGTCAATATATATACCATTTCAGAGTTCGAGTTAACAAGATTCTACTATATATATATATATATATATATATATATATATATATATATATCTATATATATATATATATATATATATATATATATATATATATATATATATATATATATATATATATATATATATATATATATATATATATATATATATATAGCGGCTGATTCAAGTCGCGTAATGCAAGAACAGATGGCTAGTGGTGGAGGAATGATGGGACCGCAGCAAGATCCTGGAAAATCTTTTGAAGTAAGTAATTGATAACAGTAGTTATAGTAGTTATAAATTTGAATAAATAAAGTTTTAATAAAGTATGACAACGAGTAAAAAAAAAAAAGATTTGATGGCTAAAAATGTGATTTTTGTGATGTTAACTTTATTGATGAAAGAATGATTACTTGGCATGTGTAAGATATTATTCTAAACAAAATTTAAATGTTTATTATTTAAGTATGTAATTTTCAATTTATGTTTCAATGGAATTTTTTCTTTTTATAAAACAAAAATTTTTAAATTTTTAAGTATCCAACAAACATGAACAGACATTTAAGACTTTTTTCAGCAATATAATTAACAAGCATTGCAATAACAACATCAAGTTAAAACCAAAAGAATTTAAGGATCTATTTTTATTAGATAATATCAACGCAATTGTAACACATACAATTATTAAAAACATTAGGTTTGATGTCGACATAAACAGATTAAATAACTATATCGACTTCTACATTAGCAAAAAAATTAGAAAAAAAGAAAGACTAAACATTATTTAAAATTTTTAATATCCTATATATTGTATTTATAATAATTTTTTATACTATTTATATCTTATACTACACTTCTATTCACCAGCAATAAAAAGTGTAAATGTTAAAAGTTAAATGGTAAAAGACATATAGTTCATAGAATAGAAGTTAAAATAAAAAAAAATTAAAAAATTTTGATTTAAGTTGATGACTCAAATTTATCATTTTTTCACTTCACCAAATGGGTGTTATTTTAGAAAATAATCTTTAATATTTTTGATTCCTTTACAGTGCAAGTGTGGTTTGTTCATTTAAAATTATGCAATTAATAAATTTATTCCCTTGAAATTATGTGATTAATCATTATAGTTTTTCGTGGTAAAAAAAAAGTTTTATTATTTACATAATTTTTCTGTTAAAATTTTTATAAGATATTTTTGAAAATATTTTTTTGATTAAACTAGTTTGAATGATTTATGCTGTATTCATAGAATAATTGTGAGCAATATCTGCTTCATCTAGCCATTGTCTAGAGGAAGCAAATATAAAATATACAGATGATTATATTTCAAAAATATAAGTAATATATACAGCTGTTTCTCTACAAGAAACCTTGCATGAATAATTGGTTAAGTGGTTTGAAATGTCATTTGATTTGAGCAATTTTAAAACAAAGGATAATTTAACTAAGTTTGTCTAAATATTGTGTAATTTTATCTGATAAATACTATATGTACGTAACTTTAAGTAGTAAACATAGTTATAATATTATATATATATATATATATATATATATATATATATATATATATATATATATATATATATATATATATATATATATAATTATATATAATATATATACTATATATATATATATATATATATATATATATATATATATATATATATATATATATATATATATATATATATATACTATATATATATATATATATATATATATATATATATATATATATATATATATATATATATATATATATATATATATATATATATATATATATATATATATATATATATATATATATATATATATATATATATATATATATATATATATATAGGGCATGATGAAATGTTTTTTTTAATGGACGTTGATGTTGATGTCTTTAATTATTTTAAGAGAAACATTTCAAATAAAGGGAGTTTCATTTTAAAATAAATTTTTATTCTAGTTAGTAAGTTATTGGATATATCAAAAATGTGTATTGAATTTAATCAATTCTCATATTTTCAAAACAGTTTTTCGCATATTTGCAAAGTAGGCGCAAATTATTGATTATTAATATGCAATGATTATAAACTGTTATCCAACAATACAAAACTTTTTTTTTTAATTTAGTTCGTTAAATTTATTTACTCATAAATTATATGTATAAACATGAAGAAATTAAGATAAAAGAAAATAAAGAAATATAAATTGCAAAATGATGTCTCATTAATATTTATATATTAATTTTCATATTTATATAAATGGATTTAAGAATTACTAAAACTTTTTGATTTATAGCCTTCCAAATGTCTAATACCAATCGCTGCGTCAATCCAACTTTTGACATTTTTTTGGGACAATAAGTCTTTAATTAACTGGTTATCAAGCTATATATCTTACGCATATCTTATACGCATAATCTTATACGCATAATATCTTCTAATGTGTCATCATTTAATAAAGTTCACAAAACATTGTTTTGTAAGTTCATAAAAGAAAAACTGCGTTCACAACATGCTGTTGAAGCGCTAAAATTTACTATAATCTCTAACAAAACATTGCTAATTCAGGTTTACTTTCCAGCAAGATATCTCTATAAATGCTCAGCAGTGAATTTATCTTGAGTTTAGAGACTTTCTCCCTGAATAAAGGTCACTGCAATATACATAAGTTAGAAGTTTCTCTGCTTATCATATTATTATGCTCATAAAAGTTGCAAACACTTTTTATATCATGAAATCCCCTTTTTTTTTGTCTCTCGCGATCCTGTAAAGGATTTTGGCCAGTTTCGACAAATAAAGATTGCAGTTAAAGATTTTAATGGCTCTTGATTGAAATTGCGGCAGAATCGTTTGTCTATATATTCTTTTGCTTCGTCAATAATTTTAATAAAATTTTTTAAATTATAATCAAAATAATCATTTGGTTGTAACAATCTCATCCATTCTCTTTAATTTATGCTTTTTTAATGCTGCTAAATCAATACTTTTGTAGATTAACTGATCTTCTTTTACTTCTAATTTATCTAGTAAACGTCCAATATTTGAGCCTGGATTAACTAATAATGCGTCTAGTACAAAAATTCTTGCATCAACTTTACGCAAAATCTCACAAATTAAAATTTCTTTTTTTTAAAACTCTAATGACAATGCTGTTAGTGATTTAACAATATCTTGAATAAAATGTAAATAAAATAAAATTTTTGGGTCTTTCATGAAACACAAAAATCCTTTAGCTTTCTGTGCAGTTTTGTCTTTCTTATTTGCCTTGCTTTCTAAATCATAAATAACAACTTTTTAGTCAGTTTCAAGCATTATTAACACCCTTTCTCAGCTAGCTAACCAACGAATATTTTTAATCTCCCAAGCTGTTTAAACTCTTTATCTAAAAAAGAAGCTATATCTTTCAATTCCTTTTTTTGCTGGGATGAATAGTAGTAAAAACGAAACAAACTATTGATGTTGTTATTGAACTTCTT